GCACAGCGGGCAGGGAGCCGCCAGCGCCGGGCACGAGCGGCCTCCTTCCTCCGGGCACAGACGATACCATCAATTACCTCGGAGAACTTAAAACAGAGAACGCTGCTTTGGCACATTCATCACCGCTGTGAGAAGTAGTTATGTAGCATAAAATAACTTTGTGGAGGCGGCCTAATTAGGCAACAGCTAAATAAACTTCCCATGCCTGTGCTCCTGCAGGAAACGACAGGCTTAGCGACACCTTCGCAAAATGGGTAAGAAACGGGGCAGAGCGAGCCCCCCGCGCAAGGACTCAGGCCCCAAGCGCAACCGCGAGCGACGCTCCTCCGGCAGGACCCGGCAGCCGCGTGACCTCGCGCCGCGCAGGCGGCTCCATCAGGTCAAGAGACGCAGGTCTCAGTAACCCCAGTCCTGCATAAAGCCCAGCAAATACGAAGAAGCCGCCAAGCAGCAGCATGAGGCCCATCCTTGCCCGTCTCGAGCAGGGCGCTGCTCGCACGGGGGCTGCTCCAGCAGCCCGGGCACGACCTGGATCTTGGGCAGCCCAGGTCCCCGCGGTGACACGAGTGCGGAGGAGCCAGCAGGAGAACGAACGGCCTCCACCCCGGGCGGGCCCACGCGCTGCGCTCTCAAAACACCGTGACCCGCGCAGCCGAAATCCACGGGGCTCCAGCAAGCCACCAGAGAGCACTTCTGCGCGTTAAACCACCGCGCTGCATGCGCCTTTGGGCACGTTCAAGAAAGATGCTAACCGAACAGCCCCACTTATTCTTAACTAAAGAGCTTCAAGAGTAAAATAGGTTGCTTTTAGATATCTTTTAAGTGGTTAACTGCAAGTCTTGCCATCACTTATAAGAGCGTCTTCAAAGAGCAGCATTCTGCCCTTGGTGGATGAACACTGCGTTTAGCAGAGATGAGCAGAGAGACATCAGCACCCGTTACCGCATCGCGGCACGTTACCGCGCGCCCTTCCCCTCTCACGGGCTCAGATCCGTGCAGCCTCCGGAGGCCCCGCTTCCACGATGGGAAGCGCTGCAGGCCCTCAGGTCTCCAGCACGAGGGCAGCGGCCGCAGGAGCGCCCAGCGCCGCGGCGGCGGTGCCGGAAGGGTTAAGCGTCCCCGGAACGCGGCTCGGGTTTCTGCGCCGGGCTGCGCTCCCCTGCCGGCTGCAGTCTGACCCCTGACATTTCCACTCGGCTTCTCGCTGGCGTAGAAAACCTAACCGTACACAAACAAACAGGTTGGGAGGACAGGGAAATGCAAGACAGGAGGAGGAGAAAGGAAAGATCTCTCTGATTTCTTTTAATAGCCGTGATTAAATAATAGCAGCCAGCCCCAGGCAGGGGGTGGTGTTTGTCAGGAAGGCCCCGGTCCCAGCAAGACACGGCCCTTCCACTAATCCTGGGAGCGACCGGTGCCTTCCCTTCCCCCTTCTCCCTCCTAGGAAGCCCTGGAAGATCCTCAAGTTTAAAGATACAGTGGGGCCTTTTAGCGTTTTCCTTACAAAACACAAGGGAACAAAGTGCCTGTTCAAAAACATTACTAGGATTTACAAACACTGTGGCGAGGAATTTAATCAAAGGAAATCGAACCGGGAAACCTTAATTGGACATTATCGCTCGATTCCCTCGCCCTGGGCCCGCCAAGGAAGCGACACGTGGAGCCACGTGCTCTGGCAGCGCCCAGGGCCCGCCGGGCGCACCGGGGCTGCCGCGCGCTCGCAGGGTGCAGGGAACGTTCCGCCCTTCCCAAGGGAGGAGGCTGCTCCGTGCTCGGGGGCGCCCGTCCCGCTGCTCCCGGGATGCAGGGATGGTGCGGGGAGCTCGCGGCGGCGCCGCGCACGGCTCCGCACGGCGCTGCCGGCCCCAGCGCTGCCGCGACCCTTGGACAGGCTCGCTACTCTCTTCAAACAAGCTCCATTTCTCCTTTTTTTTTTTTCTTTTATTTTTAAGGTTGGCCATGAAAGTCCATACTTTCCTCTATGACCTTCTCTCACTGAGCAGAAAAATGATTACGAATGGATTTTGAATCTTTTTCTTATCTTCTCCCACATGATTTTCTAAAGCTTTCCTCACTACAGAGAACGGCAGTACACAACATGGAAAAGTCCAGTTCTGCTCTCTGTAACAGAATGAGCATCATCCAGTTTTCTACTCCTGCTTCATTCTATCTTCCAAAACTTCTCAATGCTGAATTAAGTGGTGGTAGGACTGCACAGATTTGCTCTGCCAGCTGAAAATCTTTGCAAACCTTTGACATAATCATTTCTACACAATCCAAAGCAAAAAGAAGACAGGGTGTGGGGGGAGAAAAAACAAGATTTTGAAAGTATAAGTTCAAAATGTAAGAAGAAAACTATATTTCATATTTGGTTTAAAAAAAACGAAGAAAAAAAAATGAAAGCAAATATTTTCTTGCCTATTCGTATTCTTAAATATCTGTTTTCAACATAGCCTTATTTTTAAGAACTCCTCGACTGGAGGAAGAAATGCATTGAATTGAAAAATATATCTGTCTACCCCTAAAAATCATTATGCTTCAAGGACAACAGGCAAATCCAGCATAAAATCAAAGACAGAATCTTGACATGTTCAAAGAGAAAATTATCGTAACAGCAGTGGCTTTGAAGACGAGCAGGTTTTTGGCGTTTTTAGAATAGAAACAATAGCCATCAAGATTTTCCCTGTAGCAGCCCATGCTTAAATGCACAACCCGGCAGGCGACGTGCCTGGCGGGTCCGATGAGCACCCGCAGGAAGGGACGCGGTGCCGGGGAGCGCGCGGCGCCCGCGCAGCCGCCTTCCTCCTCCTCCTCCTCCTCCTGCCCGCGCTCCAAGCTCCAGATTTCCCGACCAAGCGGCTGCACAAGACCCAGGGCTCGGGCACAGCCGGAGCTTTTGCCACCTGCAGCGCCGGGGGAGCCGCTCACCAAGCGCCCCGGCCCCGACCTCGCACGGGCACGTGGCTCTGCCTTGTAGCAAAACCGGGCTCCAGCCACAAAAAATAATGCCTGGTATTACACGGTACAACGTCCCAGCATTTCAGTTACCAAAACCAAGGAAGCAGACCATAAGGATTCAGAAACACTTGCCTCCAAGAGTTACTTGGAGCGATAACTTCTGTGGGATTTTTAATTTCATTCTGTAGCAAACTTAAGAATCAACATTTCATTAATACAAAATTGCAAGTTGCAAATAACTACACTGAAATATTTAAATTCTCAACATTTGCTTCCAGGGAATTGCATATTTGTCTGTAAAACTCATGATTTGCAATGTGCACTGAACTATTGTGATTCACGAAAAAAATGAATCACAAAAGGGAGTTTTTTGACTGAATATATAGCTATTACGTAACCCTCATAACAAGGGGTATAGTATTTTTCTGTTTTTTGATTGGAAGACTTTTGGAGGACGGCTATAAGTAGTCACAGAAGACTCACTAACTATAAATATCCCTTGCAAAAATAGAGTTTGCAACCAGCACAGTTGAATTAGGAGTCAGAAAGGAAGCAAAACAAAGCAAAAGGACTTGAGTAACATATCAGCATAAACTGAAAGTCACAACTGCTTTCAATTTTAAGTATGCAAAGTGATAACTATTTGCTGAAGAAGTTTGAGAATATATTTTGAATAATGAATTCAAGAATTCTGTGATCCATTTCCTGGCAATTTGCAAATCAGTAAGGGGAAAAAGCTATTGACACAGCTTATTTTTTGCAAATAATATGCAGAAAATAGACAGGAAGGCAAACGCAGAGTGTAACAAACTTCTTCAGGTGGCAAAAAGCAAGTTTCAGTGACAAGGCTGTTAGGAAATGGAGCGAGGACTTTTTTTTGCCCTGTAGTACAAACAAATTTGCTTCCTACAGCTTTAGAAAAAGATGTGATTTTGAACAAAGCTCTGCTGTCCTTCCAAAAAGAAAAAACGCTGAAGTTTGTCAAAACATTAGCTGCCTCTGCATCAAAATGGAATATTTCTAATCTTTTGACTGTGAATTGCACATAGCTGGTGATCAGGCATATTTTGACTATTTGGACTCTAAACTTAACCAGGTGACAAATGCTTAAGATAATTTTCAAGAACGTTTACTTTGCAGTTCCTCCCCAACTTTCTAAACAAACTAACAAAAACACCATTTCATCCTTTATTTGACTGTGTTCACATAACATTTAAGTCAACAGCAATATTTTTACCCACTGCAGTTAAGCAGGGGCAGAGTTTTTGAACACACACTTGGAAGCAGAAGTTGGACAAGAAGTCACTGAAACCTCAATGACAGGGTGCCTGCAACGTGCCGGCTCGATTTGGGGTTTAACTAAGAGGTCCCAAATCCACATTTTCAAGCAGGATTAGGGACACAAGTCCCATAGTGGTTTTGTGAGCACCAGAGCTGCCTTGATAACATAGGGTGTTGTGTATTTTTTTCCTGTATTTCATGTTCTACAGGACATCCTGAGCAAAGAAGAGAGTCCCTTGAAGACAAGTTTCCCCCACAGATACGCAGGGGCAGCTCGGTGCCAAAGCCAGGTTTTATTCCGAGGGCAAGTGGAGTCAAGGGTGGGTCTATCAACGCCCATTCATTTCTTAAACATTACGAGTATAGTGCATACATGGGTACTATTCTACTCACACCAAGAAGACATCAAAGGATTTATTTAATAAAAGCACTTTCCCACTGCAAATCAGCAGTGAATAGCTGTTTAAAGCAGGAGACTTCCTGTTAGTCCTATTCCTACAATATTGTTTTGTTCTCACTGTTACATTAAAACCTCTTTTATTAAAAAAGGAAACAGTTAAAAGGCATTAATATATGCTTTGATTTTCTATTGCCTGACTAGTGGTTTATGGCCATTACCTGCTCACTGGAAAGACTATTCTACCCAAAACGCGTTTGCTAGTCTCACCAATACCTGCCTCGCTGCAAGAATCACCATTCCTGACTCGTATCAGAGAGCTGCTCCTTCTAGCGCAGGGAAAAACTGTCAGAGGGAAGAAAAAATACCTTGGCTTTCACATGCACAGGCTAATGACCCATGACTGCATGAAGCCAGAGTCAATGACAGCAACACATCGGGGCCTGTTTGTGATATAATTGCTCTAAAAAGAAAACAGCAAGAAAACACTAACACTGCAGACAGGAAGAAATTACCGTCACCCCAAATCAGGTTCGTGCGTTCCCTGCAGACTGGTCAAGCTCCTGGGTCCCGTGCCCCACGGGACCAGCTCCCACACAAACGCGCGGCCCGGCAGCGCCGGCGCAGCGAGGCCTCCAAGGACCTTTTCCTCCTCGGTTTCATTGCTATCACATCGCATTCCCTCTTTCTTTTTTTAAGTAGGCATTTATGTGCTTTCTAGAGAAAAGCTGTTTATTCAAAATAATCTGAAAGATACCTCAGATAAACTGTTGTGTTTTTGCAAAACATTAAGTTGTGCTTTGAGATAGCGGCGCATCCAAGCGCAGCATCCCCACCGGAGGTTTATTAAAATGACAGATGATTTCCCAGACCTCTCGCCAGGGTGAGAAAGGTAGAGGCCACAGAGAAGCCACCTAACCTTTGGGTTTGGCAGTTCTCTCTTTTGTAGTATTTCTTGCAAAAATGACTTGGTAAGTGACATATTAATGTCTTCATTGCTTTGTGGCCACAGGCCGAGTACTCTAGCAGAGCCAGCAGAGCACAATCGACAGAGAGATCATTCAATCAAAAGCACAAATCAGATGTGAAATCGTAGGGATAAGAAATGCCCAATAACTTACATCCTGTGGAAGGAAAGGGGAGTCAAATGGTGATACTGCTTGAAACACACCTTTGAACCTGTCATATATTTTCCAGAAAGTCCCAGGATAGCCTACAATCGTCTTTCCAGGGAGATTTAACTAAGGGAGGAGGATCACTGAGGATAAAGACAGATCAATTTTCCTCTAAAATTTTAAATGAAACACTCCTGTTTTGGAAAGAATTTCATTAGAATGAAAATATAATATAGAGGTACCCATTTAGAAAGAATGTGCTATTAATTCTTAGCAGTGTATGTAGAAGGGAAAATTGCATTTTTATCTAAATGGCTTTTTCTGCATAACCCATTTACAGTATTCTTTTACAGCTCAGTAATGGGAACTTCTCACATTACTATTCGGGCCAGACCACAGCGGAAGGCAGGAGCAGGCTTCAAAAACATCCAGAATATAACCCATTAAAACAGCCTGCAAAAGCAGCTCCTCAGAACGGAGGAAACAGCCAGCGCAGAAGGGCTTAAAAGGTAGTGGGAAAAGGGGAAAAAAAAAATCCGTCTTAAAGGTGTTCAAGCAACTTTTCTTTCCCTTCCTTAAAACAAGACACATTCTGTTTCTCCTTTCCTGAGGGAAGAGCAGAAGTTGGGCCTTTCCCGCCCTCCTCCAGGCCGAGCCGCAGCCGTGCGGAGAGGGACACAGGGCGGCTTTACGGTGCGGAAGGCTCCGAGCTGCGGCGGTTACTACCACGTGCAGTAAAAACACAAAATTTAAGAGACGAAAAACTATTTTTATCAGCATAAACCAACACTCATTTCTCCAAACAAATAGTTTCCTATAATTCCAAAGTGAATACAATCTAAACAATAATTTTAAACAGTTGACACCATGATCAAGATTGCCTAGTATATTTACATAAGGCAATAAGAAAAAGCTCCAAGGAAGGTCAAAATCAGATGAGAGCTTGTAGAATCATATCTTACTAGGATTGCCTCATCTGATAGAATTAAAGGCCAACACAAAATTCAAAATTTTTAAAAATTCTAAGTCTTAACATTAGGAATATCAAACTCTAACAATCACAAAAACAAAGCAATATACTGGTGTTCATTAAAAAATAATAATTCCTCAAAATAATGTAATAGGACTCACAAAAGAAGTCAGAGCTGCACATTTTCTAGGCGTTGTTCACTTGACATTCTTCACTGCTTCATTTTTTTTCCTGTGTTGGCTTTCTAAAACTTATTTCTGACAATCAGTGTAACATAATTGATCTCTGAAAGCAGAAGGACATAGTGCAGCAGTTACGGTCATACAGCCGGACAGTGCACAGCTTTTATTCCTTTACCTAGCTGTACTCCTCATTTTAAAGTGATTACAGGAAACTACTTCTGTTTTAGCCTTTACATTAAGCTCTTTCTGAATTTAAGGCCAGCAACCAACCTTTCATTATGCTTAATAGGTAGACATAAAAACATAATTGTACCACAATCTCCCCAACTGTATGTTTTTCCCA